CGGTTTTCACTGAAGAAACATCCCCTTGCATAATTTTACCCACGCATGTGAAAAATTGTGGTTAATGATGTTAGGGAGGTTTTCTGATAAAATCTTAAAGGGTTTTTCTGATAATCCCTAAACTTAAGGGGTTTTCCTGATACTTTGAAAGTTATGGGAGATTATTTGATAACCACACAAAGTTTCTTTTTTGTTTTGTTTTGTTTTTTTTGGTTGGGGTTGTTGGGTTTCTTTTCTTTTTTTTTTTTTTGGGTGGGGGATGGTTTCTGATATTTAGCCTTAGTAAACTGACATGTCATCATAGGAATAAACAGTAACTGGAAACCAGTATCCGTGGTGTTTTAAGGCCACATAGTTACATGCATCCAATTAGATTCTTATGTTTGAGATAAATTTGCAAGATTAATCCAACAGAAATGTTTATAGTTGATGGCAATGTCTTCGAAATTTTTCAGCCCTAAACCAACTTTGATCGAGTTTGTGATTTGACAAAGCCATCAGTTTATACTGTACCATGTCAGAATTTATGATAAACCACTATCCGTACTTGAATCGTCACATATAGTTCTGCTTCCCTTTCTGCTTGATCTTTAAAAAGGAATATATGATATGTATCCTCTACCTCAGAGGTCTCATTAGTTCCGAGGTATTAATGTAGTGTTTAAATGCCTGCGTATACTGAACTATCCTTGGTCAGAGATTTATGAGAACCTGTTAGCGTAGAAGCTTCTGTAAGATACTGATTTGTCAATTGGGCATATCTGATATGTTCATTAACATTTTGATTGACTGCCTTTATACCGATGCCATTCGAGTAATCATTATTGGGGTTAATTCTGATATATATTTTTTCCCTTTGCGGAACTAGTTATTCTTGTGTATATTCATCAACTTTGTTGAATGATATTATTTATTGCTGTTTATAGAAGCTTCTGTCTTCAACAGTCCTAGTAATATGCAGTGCAAACTGCATGCTTTGGGAGAAAATGCTTCATCTGTGGATTTCGACATCAAACGAAATGATTGGAGAAAAATTATAGTTTCTGCTCAGGGTGACGTAATGCTAGAAATATGTGAAGCTGGAAGAAAATTGGGACCAGAGTTTGGTAGGTATGACCTCTATGCTGGGGTAGATTCTTATATGTTCTGCATGTTTCTGCCTGGAGATTATGTGAAACAAGGTGAGCTTTTTTAAAGATATTATGAGGGACTATTCATGGAATAATTGAAAACAAGAGGCGGTAGATGTTTCTCAATGGAAAAGAAATGATTTGTTTTCAGTAATTTGATAACTAAAAGTTCGATGAGTTGGAAAGTTCATAAATGAAAACTTTTGGTTCACATGGAAAATTAAACTCTGAAGTTTTTTTTTTTTTTGAAAAACTTTTCCCACTATGATTGAAAGGTTTCTTTAGAACACAAACTAGGATCCAGTGAACAATCAGCTTTACATATTTTATTCGTTATTTGTGAGAGTTAAACTTTTTTTTAAATCTTTTCTATATTTTATTTAGTCTTGCTACTTAACTCGCTCTTTACACTTGTATCTCTTGACCTTCCTGCATACGTAAACACAGAGACATGAACGTGTGATATTATCCAAGACTTGCTTATGCAAATAGCCTACAGTAAAACAACTTCATTTGCCTATTCTTTTTTGCCTTGAACTGCTATGAATGTCCATAGTTTAGACTTTTTAAGGAATTAGCTCTCAAGTTCTTTTATTATTTATATATTTATTATTATTATTTTAATTTTTTATTTTTATTTTATTTTTTGCTTACTAACATAGTTTGTTTCAGCAGATTCGTTCATCTGGGAGCTGATGGAAACAGGAATTATTACAATAAAAGGAGTGGCAGCAACTGAA